TACTACTACTACTACTACTACTACTACTACTACTACTACTACTACTAAAACTACTACTACTAAAACTACTATTAATGTTGCAATCAATACTACTGCTGCTAATATTACCAAGGGCGTCTATTGGGAGGGACAAAGAGGGGACATGTCTAACTTTTCCGTGTCTATTATACATTTATACGTAAAATATTATTATTAATTTATATAAAACGTATGTTGAATTAATTTTTTTAGCTAATATTATCTCTCATGGACAAAACTTTACCACGGTAGAACGAGTTCCGAGAATCATAGATACTAATTATAAACCTATCGACAATGATCGCCGAGAGGCACAGAGGCACTCGGGGAAAGATCACACGTGTGCGTGTCCTCTGAATTTTTTATGTCGGACGCCTATGACTAATATACCGTTGCTGCTACGATTTACAATCGAAAATTTGCTGTAACACTACTGCTATTTTACAGATCACTTAGCTACTACTACTGTACCGTAGCGATAACAACACAGATCTGAATTATAGAACGAGTTGAACACAGATATCATGTACTATGTATTTTGGTCCGGCGTACCTCGGAAGAATTGTGAACAGACGAAGAACACGGCCATCAGCAGTCTGGCAGTGGTTTTCATGTTTTCGCTGTGGCCTTTGGCACTCGTACAGACGTCGTAACCGCGGTCTTGGTCGTCTTCGCCCACGTAGTAATAGTAATAGTAGTAGTAGTAGTAGTAGCTGTAGTACAAGTGACTTTTACGGTCGTGTCACGTTGCATTTTCGTTCACGAGTCCCGCGAAACGCAGCACTTCATATCGTCCCAACAACACGTCGCGTCTACCGCCGTCGCTGCCACCGTGGCCGGCTGCACCGTGGCCGCGCGAAAACACTGTTACCGCGGGCCGATGGGTGTGGGCCGCCGGTCTTCTTACCACCGTGACGTCGTGATGCCCGACCCGTTGCTATTTCTGTCGCTACTACTGCTGCTGTTGCTGCTGCTGCCGCTTCTGCTGCTGCCGCTGCCAGTGGTGGCGGTGGTGGTTTTGATGGCGGCTGTGCCAATGTTACTGGGTACGGCGTTAATGACGGTGACGGTGATGTCTGTGACGTCGGTGACGGCGATGAAGACGGTCGTCGAGGTCGCCACAACATCCGTGGCCGTGGCTGTCATCGCGAGACAGGACGCGCCGTTCAGAAGCAGCGGCCGTGCCCGGAACAGCGAGCCGACACCGACAGCGGTGGTCCTCGTGCACCGGTCTCGTGGGCGGTGCGGACCACTGGCATTGCGTGACGACCAGCGGCGGCGGACCGCGGGGAACCGATCTCGCGACGACTACGACAACGGCACGCGGATGGCGTTCGGCGACGCTGCAGCCGGACGGACGGTGGACAACGACACGACGGACGGACAGAGCGAGAAAACGCCTCTGTGAAAAGAACGAGATAGATATGAAGATTGATCTAAGAATGTATACAGACGGACAGATAGATAGAGGTAGACAGACAGACACAGATAGGTGTAGAAAAAAAAGAGAAAAAACGGCCGGTCCGTCGCGCACACTATATACTAACGAAACGCGTAGAGCACGGCCGCGACGTCTGCAGAAAACGAACGGCGCACACACCACACACAATACTGCTGGTGCTGGTGCTGGTGTGCTGGTGTGCTGCTGCTGCTGCACGTACTTCAAACACCAAAAGCTTGCGCGCGCATGTCTGTGTTCGTGTACGCGTGCGTGCGTGCGTGCGTGCGTGTGTGTGCACGTGTATGTGTATGTGCACGTGTATGTGTATGTGTATGTGTGTGTGTGTGTGTGTGTGCACGTGAGTGCTCTGCGAGTGTATGCGTACACGGGCGTGTGTTTTTGCGTTCCAATATATATATATACGTATGTTACGAAGTGTGTGTGTGTGTGTGTGAATTGTGCGCGCGCGTACACTTAGAGTTTAAGGGCGCGCGCGCGCGAGTACCTCGACCGCGTTCGCATGTGCGTGCGTGCGTACAGAGCGAAGCGATAGCACGCCGGTAACCGGTACGTGCGATATACGTGTATACACGAGCTAGTGCGCCAGTGTGTGTTTGCGTGTGGGGCGCGGCGCTCGGGGCATGCGAAACGGGCGGCGGCTGCCCCGGTATCGACCGCCGCCGCCGCCGCCGTCGTCGCGCGCGCCAAACATTCGGACGTGTACGCAGCAGCGTCCTAAACACGCCCGACCCGCCGCGGCCGCACGAGCTCACCACCGCCCCACCGTTCCCTTCTACCCATTATCATCATCCTCGCGCCCCGACGACGACGACAACAACGACGACGACGACAACAACGACAACGGCTGCCACCCGGGTCCTGGCAGTATGCGCATCGCCCGCCACCGACGTCCCGAACCGTCGGTGGCGGTGGACGGGTGCGCTCGGATTGTTCGTATGCGCCGAGGACCGGCGAATAGCTGGTTAATCGAATCAACATTTTTGTCCTTCGCTCCGGGGATGAACACGTCGTGTTTGCGGTCGTTTTGATGTAAAACCGTCGTATGAATGGATCGTGGCAGGCCCACCCATATATACACACACACACACACGAGTATTATATTTCGATCATGCGCGCGGGTTCGCTCGCGTTCACCCGACCTTCGCGTGCGCCTCCCTCCGACCACGCAACATCGCCGCCGACCATCGCGCGAACATTGTCGTACACACCGCGAGGACGTGCACCTCCGATCACCACACGCGCGCGTTGTGCCCACTCGTGCGGTGTCGATGGCGTACGACAAAACCGATGCCTGTACAATGTATATTAGCGATGATACTGTGTTGTATGTACGTATACGTGTGTATACGTTGCTCTCGCGAGAGCCACTTTGTCCGACGAAGGTTCGACCGCGCGCCACGTAACAACGTGCACAATAACCGTTCCTCTCCGGCAAAGTCGTCGTGCTCATCGTCCCGCGGTACTCGTGTGCGTTACGTTTGTACGGTACGCAACGGTCTTTCGAAGAAAAAAATCCATTTCGTCCCGTCTTCCGCCTCGGTAACGTTATCGTCCCGGCGACGGTTGGCACGGTACGTGCGCCCGCGGGGAGTTTTCGCCTCCCGCCACCCCCTACCACCACCGTCCTGACACCGGTCGACCGCACATGATTTCCCGATACCTAATACGCCTAATTAACGGACGAGCGCGCACGGCACAGCCCGGTACTGCGTTACGCGCACCATCATCAATTATCATAATATCATAATTGATAATGCGTAACATGTCGTCCGGTCGCCACACCGCGAGGACGCGTGCGTTGGCAACGCGTTCGGCGGACCGTTCTCGAGTTTTCCGACCGCGCCGACGGCCACCGCACACAACGAGCACGGACATTGTGGGAACCGTGTGCGTAACCTTGTTTTTATCGTATTACAAATACCGCGCGCGCGTGCACTGCAGTTACACTGTTTTATCTCGGAATCTCGAAAACCACCGATCGCACCGGGTAGAATAAAAGAAATATTTGTATAGATTTTTTCCCGCTACATTATTTTTTCCCGTTCAGTCGTTATTTTTTTTTTTTTTTTCTCAAAACACATATAATCAAATCGTATTGTCTCGCGTGAACCTATTCGCACCGATTTATAGCATTGTTACAAAAACGAAACATACGCAATCGTTTCTTAAATATTTATTTTTTTTATCATTCGCTTTAAGATGCTAATAGATTTGAAGTATAAATAATTCATTGTATTCTCATACTAAATTTTTGTTAATGTATTTTAATAAAAAAAAAAAAAACTACCGAATGATTGTTTTATGATTTGACAACTAATCCGTAATGCATACGTGTTCATAAAACGAATGCACCGTGATCATGGCACGGTTCCATCGACATTTATTTGTACAAAGTTTAATTCATACGATTGTCATAAGAAAAATCGATTGCCCCCTTCTTTGATATACATTTTTTCGGACGCCTTACGCGTACCTTCATATACGCATCATTCCTCTAGCATCCGTGTACCTATACGTATGGTCAACATAAAAAACATACCTGCGAACATGTACGGATTTAGTATGTGTGTGGGTGAGTAAACCATCCTCTCGCAAACCGATGCAATTCGCAGTGTTGCTCGGAGTATCGTGTATTATAAATGGCTTTTGAATAAAGCCACGCGCGCGCAAGGGGTAAAATCATTGTTTCTTAAACAACCCATTGCTGCCCGGATGATTGCGACGTTTTATACACGACACACATTCGGTTGATTAAAAACATAGACCTTTTTTTTTTTCTTTTTCGGTAACAATCTCCGTAACAAATAATACGCGCATGTTCGTACTTATTTTTACACGTGGCTGGTAAACAATGGCATTTTAAAAGAACTACTGGAATGCGGTTCAGTCATTTAGAGCAAAATTGTTTAGAACAGTAGCGCCGTGCATTTGTACCAAACCGTTTTTACGTCGCCATGAACGCGCACGGTAATACAATATTAATCGAAAAGACTGCGACTTGTGATTAAACGTTGGCAGAGCCGTTAACGAGAACAAGTTTAACGACATTATTTCATGTTATTGTTTATAATGCTTATGCAGGGCCGTAAATGGAAATTAATTTCGGAGGGGGGAGAGTGTTTATCATAATTATCACTCGTTTATGCACGAGACTACGGAAGTGCACGATGCAATATTGACTTTCCGTATACCTAGCTGTAATGTTTATTATTATTCCAAACACGCTAAAAAAATATAAGAATATTATATTTATTTATTTAACGTACGATGTTTATTGATTATCCTAGACTGAAATAGTTTTTTTACCACGACATAATATAATACGAAAAAATATCGAGGAGGGATTCGAACAGAAAACACTTCCCCAGGTGCGGCTTTGTGCCTATGTATACCGGTAATAGACTGCAGTGATGAAATGAAAACTAAATAATATTTATGCATTTGCTGTGATGACTGCAGTGATAAAATGAAAAATAAATAATATTTATGTATTCGCTGTTAAACGTAAATGAACCTCTCCTAGTAGGAAATTCAATTAGTTCCCGTCAACAACTTAGATGCCAATATTGTAATGGATAAGCTGAAAACTGAAACGAAATATTTGTTTGGTTTATGCGATTTCATAAATTGCACACGCACACCACCCATTTTTAGTTCATACCATTTTGATCAAGAGTTGTGTGTGTATTTGTATATGTATGATTGAGAGAAATGGTGAATACACTGAAAAATATTTTTAGTGAAATCACTTAAAATCATAAAATAATACACTTATACAAATATTTTAACATGAAAATGCCTAATCCGTACGATGGATATATAGTAATATATTTATTAATTTACTGCACTGATCTTAATATTTTTAAAAAAATTAATAACTAGTATAATACCGGTATATTTACTTATAATTCTAGTCTTGTACAACACTTAATCCATCAGCTTTTTACAATTAAATTAATACTAAGAACATTTTTTAATTTACGGTGGATAATTATTCTTCTTCTTTGAATTCATCTGATCGATAAGCAAATGAATAGTTTACTGTCTTTTTAGAATTTCATAACGTATGGGTATGTCTTCATGTTTTATTTAATTCGTATTAGATTCAAATTGAAATCTTCCAAATATTTAGAAACTATATATAACAATTAGTGATGGGCATATC